GTTTACAGAGTCAGCATATCACCCCCACAGTCGGGGTCCTCATTTCACCCACCTCGGAAGGATGGAAGGCTGAGTCAACCTTGAGCCAGTGAGATTAGAACTGCTGAACTGCAAATAACAGTCAGCTGAAGTGGCCTGCAGTACTGCACCCTAACCACTGTGCCACCTCGGCTCTCCCTCAGCCAAGGAGCCATCCTACACCCGGATCCTCAATGGTTCCAATTGGTCGTTTGGCACTTGAGGGGGACCTCTTGAGACAGGATAACTTCTCTGACAAGGTCATTCGTACCATCCACGTGTCCAGGCGACCTTCTACGATGCGGATCTATGACGCGACATGGACTATCTTTCCTCTTGGTGTCAGTCCCATCACATCGATGCCACAGCAGCAACAATACCACAAATCCTGGACTTCCTCCAGGTGGGGTTGGACAAGGGCCTTGCCCCCAACACACTTTGGAGGCAGACGACGGACCTAGCCACTATTTTGTCCAGAGACGCTTCTCTACCGCTCAGCAGACACCAAAGGTCCACAATTTCCTAAAGGGGGCGATCAACCTATGCCCCCCCCCCCGGTGTACTGTTATCCAACTTGGAACCTATTGGTTGTCCTGCAGGCCCTAACATCAACGCCTTTCGAACTGATTCATTCTATTAGTCTATGACATTTGTCATTCAAAACTGCTTTTCTCGTAGCCATCACATCAGCACGCAGAATTTCAGAGCTGGCAGCGCTCTCAGTTAGGGAGGACCTTTGTGTTATACATTCGGACAGAGTGATTCTGCGGCTGGACCCTGCTTTTCTACCGAAAATCAATAGCTTATTCCATAGAACACAGGAGGTCATCCTCCCCGACTTTTGCCTGCATCCCAGACATCCCAGGGAGCATGTGTCTGGCACAAATTGGATGTGCGGCGCGCTGTGCGGGTATACAAAAAGATGACAGCTTCTTTCTGCAAGTCGGAATCATTCTTTATATCATTCCAGACCACCTCCATGGGCAGAAAGGTATCATCTTCCACATAGAATTTTGGCTGCGTGCTTGCATTAAGCTAGCTTACGAACATCAAACTAGACCTGTGCCTCCTTGTATAACAGCACACTCCATAAGGAGTGCCGCAACTACGTCTGCTTGGGTGACGCAAGCGCCTATTGAGAACTGTAGGGCTGCTACCTGGTCATCACCATCTCCGTATATTCGAAATTACAGACTGGACTCCTTTGCCTCTGCCAAAGCTTCGTTTGGAAGGAGAGTTTTACAGTGGGTCCTCGCGGGTCCTACTAACCAGGACATTCCTTCTTCCCATCCTGGGACTACATAGCTTGGGTATGTTCCATGCTTGGACACTCCAAGCAGCGTGTAGGAGAATCACCTGGCTTACCTGAATGGTCATTCTTTAGATGCTGCGGGAGTGTCCAACCCCGCCCCGGGGGTTGTCTGCGGATGCGTGACTTATCACCTCCATGGCATAGATATTTCTCCATACAGCATCCTTCTGGGTCTCATACCTTCGTTTTTTAAACTGAGACTCTAAAGGCAGCAGGAGGCGTGGCTATACAAACTTTGAACTCAGTTCTTGGGCAGCAAGCTGAGGTTAACCCATGCTTAGACACTCCCGCAGCACCTAGAGAACAACCATTCAGGTAAGCCAACAGTCATTCTCATCAACCTTTTCGCAATCTTGCACCTTCCTGCCTTTATATACAAAGAAAGAGGGATCTAGGACAATTTGTCACATCCATCTCGCCGGGGCCATCATCTGGCAGCCAACCTGCGATGGCCATTTCACCACAGTCATCTCGTTGTGGCCAACTCACTACAGGACAACTTGCCACAGGCAATCCACATGTGAAACTCAACACAGTAAATCCACCATTGTTTCTTCTACATTATTACTATTTTTTTGTCAGGTAAGCCAGGTGATTCTCCTACACGCTGCTTGGAGTGTCCAAGCATGGAACAGAAACAATGTTGAAAAAACAATGGCTGATAACATTTATTATGTTGAGTTATAGCATGTAGCATGTTGGCTGTGAAGAAATGGCCACAATTATTCCAACCTTCTACACAGCTGCAGATCTCCTGTATTCCAAACAGCATTTTCCATTAACTGTAGTTGAGGTGGTACTATCTACATTTATAAAATACAGTTTCTTCTTTGGATTCTATGCTGGCATTGGAAATAATCTTTTAACCGTGTTTCCCCAAAAATAAGATCTCCTCAGATAATAAGCCCAATCGGTCTTTTGAGTCCATGCGCTAAAATAAGCCCACTCCTGAAAATAAGCCCTCCCCTAAAATATTTAAACGCATGCGCAGCCGGTCCCCACCATTTCCTGGGGGGAGGGGGAAACAAGCACCATGCACCCCCCACATGCATCTGTCATCCATGCAGAATGTCCTCGTAGAGGCCGTTCCCGCAAACCCTAGCTACTGCGCCTCTTACTGCGCCTGCAAAGAAGCAACGCTAGTCTGGCAAGAATGTGCCAGGAAGCGAGACAGAACTTCCAGCCCTTTCTGGATCAACTGATCCACGGACCGCAGGCCACAGTTAAGGGCCTCCTGCATACCAAACTCCGAAAATAAGACCAAGCACTTATTTCGGGGGTCAAAAGGAAATAAGACCTTGGAAATGCTATGCTTTTTCTTTGAGACTGCAGATTATAAATCAGATTCAAATGATGAATTGTGGTGTGTATGTTTATGCACAATTCACAAGCAATAAATAAACTTAACCATTGTAGGCGCTATATTTCTTGTTACTTGTGTAAAACAAATGGGGATTACATAAAGCAAATAATTTATTACTACATTCCTTAATTAGAAAAATGGGTTATTGCTTGAAAAGATGCTAAAACCTGAGCATAAAATGAAAAAACCCTATATTAGAATTTGACACAAAGATACTATAAACCTAGGAAACCTATTAACTCAAAAAGCAGACACTATGAGTTTCCACTAAAAACGTTGTAGGAGAAAAGGCTTGTTAATCTATGGTGGGGGAAAAATCAGGAGTCTGGTAGTATCTTTTCTGATTTAAATTTTTTTATTAAAAGCCATAAGTGAGTGTCAAGATGAAATGAATTGCAATCCTTGAGAATGTATACTTCATAAAAAATAGTTGTTAAAAGTACTGCCAGGTTCCTGGTTTATTTCTATTAAGAATATCAATCAGGAAAAGGTGCTTAGTTTATATTGCTGTGTAGTTGTTAAAAAACAACAACCTCGGTAGTAATTTTCAATTTCAAGTTATGTCCTTTCATTATGCAGTCTCCTGTTGTTGTTGTTGTCCTTCTCCTCAGACATTTACAATGGATCCTTCAGGGCCTTTTTGTTTTATAGATAGAAGAGGTCATCTAACAGAGGCACTCTATTAATTCTTTCACTGAGCAGAGAGAGGAGCTAGATGACCTTCGAGATTCTTTCCAACTTATGATGCTGTGAATATGCATTCAATGAGAAGAAAAATTGCTTAGGAGCATTCAAGTCATTTGACTTCTTACACCCAAATGGGTTCCTTCCAAAACAATTTTCTGTAAAAAAAAATATTACTGTAATTATCTGTGAATATGGAGCTTCTTTTCTTGTACAGTTGTTTTCCAGAAGCTTATTTCAGATTTTTACCGGATTAATTTGAATATTCCAAGCATGCAGCAATCTTTCCTATCTTAGTATTCAACAGGTGTTGGGCTACAATGCTCATTGGCCCAGAAATCCAATACAGTTATAAGAACCCAACTTGAAAAGTAATTTTTTCATAGGAGGTCTTGATATAAATATTTTTGTGATGCCTAAAATTTGCTATACAGGTTGTCCTACACTTCAGACAGTAATTGAGTCTGGAATTATGGTCATAAATTGTGGCAGTCATTAAACAGATCACCACATGACCACACCTGATTTTACCTTTTATTTGGTGGTTGTGGTTTACACTATACAGTGTGGTTGTTAAACAAACCTGTTTTCTTCAATGGAGCTTTTTTCCAGAAACTGGAAGGAAATGTCAGAACCAGCAAAAAAAATGCTGAAAATTGCAATCAAATGACCATGGCCATAAATATGAGTCAGTTGTCAAGTACCCAGTTACATGACTGCAGGAGGTACAGTCTTTGGAACTTTAGAACTGGGTTGTAAGTAGCTCTGGGCAGGTCTGCTATAATTTTTAACTGTTGTTAAGTGAAGATTACTTGTATCTAATTTGACAGTTTAGAATAATGGAGAAAAATCTGTTCCGACCTAAAGCACATTTTGTCATTGCTTTCATCATCACAAATTATACGGCTGCCTTTGTTTATGACCTTAAATTGCACTTTATTGCTAAATAAGATCTGAAAAAAATTGCCTGTATTAATTTAATGTCAGATTTTGCACATCACTTCCTAGAATGCTTTATTTTATATTACTTTTCAGGAATCTATGTAATTTAATGGGTTATGGTGGCACCAGAGGTTTGGCTTTCACGAGATTTGTAGTATGGCTGATTACAACAACAACACAATAACCATTTTTAATGCACGGGTGTCAAACTTGCAGCGTCAGGTTGCCATCACGTGACGTATCATGACATTTTTCCCTTCATGCAACTGGGGTGGGCGTGGCCTTTTTGTAACGCATCCGACTCGCAGGCTGCCAGTTTGACACTCCTGCTAATGAAACCCAGCTATAAAATGGGAATCCTCCATAGATATCTGGTCTTCTGAACCATACAGGTGATTCCATGGGAGAAAACCAAATAATTGGGAAGGTAGTCAGTTGAACACTGTGATATCTGAATCAATCTTCTTTGCCAGATGCTGTGGGTGAGACGAACTGGAAATTTGAGGCACCACAGAAGAGCCCTCTATAGCACTCTAGTGCCATCTGATGGTATGGTTTCTAACTAATTGCTATCTTCATATCAAATATTCCAATAGTACCAATTTCAAGGTGCGTATCCCCACATATTCCTATTTTATTTTAGGCAGTTTGAATCCTGCAGAGTTTATGTTGGCTCTGAAATATTCACTGCTTTCTGGAATAACATTCTTGTGCCCCCCTCATCTTTCATGAGAGGCTTATATCTTTTTATACCACAGGTATGAATATCTCTTGATTAAAATGAACAGTTTATGGTGCTGTAATTGGAGGTGTGGAAGCTTGCAGGGAAAAAAATAATATTACCTTGAGACTAATAGTTTAATGTCTGGCAAGTTCTGCCTCCACTAAATCATAGGTCTGTTTAGAGTCCATTGTACCAGTGGTGGGTTCTGGGCGGTACGCAGCTGGGCCACTGTACTGGAATGGTGCTTTGGAGGGCCCACCCACCTGCCCTCATTCCTTACCTCTATTTGAGCTAACCGGGCCATTTGTGCGCGCACGCGCAGAGTATGGCGCCTGCGCGACCTCCACTGAACAGTTGAAGCGTCGCAGGGTAGTGGGTGCGCATGTGTTCGGCAGAGCATGTGGCGGTGGTGGATGCCCGGCCCCATCACAGCATACCAGTTGCAACAGGATCCGGAACCCACCACTGCATTATACCCTAGCATGAAGGCCTAACTCAAACATAAATTCTAGCTAGGGTAAAATTCAATTTCCTCTCCATCCAAAGACATCTCTTTCCTGCAAGCACTATGGTGTGTAGCTTGAATATTCATGTTCCATATCCTTAGAAATTAGATCTATTTACATCTATATGTTTCCAGAATGATACCATTACTTGCACCCACGTCATTAGCCAAAAGAAAGTCAAGCTAAAAATTAGATTTGTTTAGTACTTGGATGGAAGATTACCAGACAGTATGATAGATCAGGAAGTTGAAAAATTATTGTGGAAGAAAGTACTAGCAAAATATTTCCATATTGTTGCCAAGAAAACTACATGACGCATCATGGAGTCAGCAGGAGCTGAGCTCAGTTTGAGTCTTTAAATTATTGAATGTTACTCTTCACTGAAGAGCTCATAGATAATTTATCAATGGCACAAAGAAATATATGCTGAATTTCATAATTTTTCCAAAATATACCTCAACTCTTGACTAGCTTTTTTTTAAAAAAACACCTGATTATACAGGAGTGTTTATATGTATGCAAGTGTACACCCCATACATATACATATGCCTAAATCTTTTCCTTTCTTTTTTATTTTTGCAGAAGTAAGTGTTCATTATAAATATGGTCTGCCTGTGATAACCCTTACATTGCCATCAAGAAAAGAACGTTGCCAGTTTACTATCAAACCAATGCTAACAACTGTGGGCACCTTCTTAAAGGACATAAAGAGAGAAGATAATGCAATTGAAAAGGTAGAAGTCTTCACAACAGGTACTAATGCTGATATCACTTTGAAAATCAAGGTTGTTCCGACTTTTCCCAGGTATTGCAAAATCTAGGAGACTTTATAAATGTTTGAAATCTGCCAAGGTTACATCCTGGCAGGGCACTCACTAAAATGTATCTGCTTCAACCCTCACTGTTGCTAGCTTTTTCTTCACTTTCTTTCCATTTTTCACCCTTTCACTGACTCACCACTAGGAGAAAAAAGGGAGTGCATGAAATAAGTGGGAGCTCTGAATAAGACAGTGGAAGGAAATCTACAAGTGGCAAAAAAACCTCATTCAGGAACATGTGCGTTTAATGTTAGATGAAATTTAACTTCTTACCTTTGTATGTTATAGATATAATAATAGACCACTTATAGTGTTTATTACAGAACATTTGTTCGGCAGGAAAATATATTAAATAAGAATATTAGCAATTTATCCTGAAGAAATTAAACAGAATTCGTATGCAGTTATTATTGATTTAACTTTGTTTCATTTTTCTTTTGGGATTAAATGAGACAAATGCTTGCTGTCACAACAAAGATAAAAAATTTAGGACCCTGCATACTTAGTTTTTATCTCTTTTTCACTCAAGTTTCATCCACTGTAGAGTGGCTAGAGTAGAGATTAGCTAAAAACAGGTCTACGACTTCAGTCTTCAAGTTCCTAACTTGAAGCAAATGTCTAATTCCAGGCAGAAAATGCTCATAACATTTGCACATTTGCACATTTGCAGGTACAGATGGTAAAGAGAACAGGCAATTTTCAAATCAATACTAGTAGTCTTCAACTTACAATCACAACTGGGATAGGAAAATTTGTTAAATGGTGCAATCATTAAATAAGACATCACATGACCATAACTTTCAACCTTCTCTGATTCCTTCCCCATTGGTTTTGCTTGCCAAAAACTGCCTGGGAGGATGGCAAACAATAATCATGTGAACAGGTTACCAAGCACTCAGTTCACAATCATATGACTGTGAGACGCTACCAAAGTCATAAATGTGAGACCAGTTGTAAGTCACTTTCACAGCATTGTTGTAACTTCAAGCGATCACTAAATAAAAGCAGAGCACTTACATTTAATTTTTAGGGATGCAAATATAACTCGGTAGCGCAGAACATATTCCAAGCAAAAAAACAACCAAAATAACTCTGTTCCATTTGTTTGTACTTCAAATAAAGCAGAGGTGTTTTGTCCCTAAAAACATACTAGTGCGGCTTGTCCAAGATCAAAAGACAAATTCCAGTGTAGGCAGACTTCTGTACTGCAGGCTGTGTTCCAGGTTCTTCAGTTGTTTCGCTCCTCCATAGACTCAATCCACCTACTTACTGGATACTTGAATAGCAGTTCGTTATCATCCAAAACCATTAAATGTGTGTCTTTTGGATAGCTGGATCTAGGGACACATGGCTGAAAATATAACTGCACTTTTTCTCTGCAAAACATCTTTTTGAGCAGAAAAAAAGGCTATGCTAAATTGGATTCTGTCTCTGTTTAGAAAAGTCCTTGAAAAAACTCCAGAAGAACTTAGATTCTGAAGATAGTAGATATTTGGCAGACCAACTTCACATTGACATTTGTGCACTGAAACCAATTGGTGGCAAGCAAACCTTGTGCTTGCTATCCTGTATTGTCCAGAGTGAAGCAGAACATCATTACCAATTGCAATTTCTTGGTAGAGAGAATTCTAGATGATAAACTCTGAAATGTCCATGAGAGGAGCTGTAAGTGCCTTGGTAGGTGGTTTCTACACGAATATAATAATAGCCAGAAGAAAGTGAGAATGTGGATCTCCTGTTTTCAGCAGCTGGTATTTAGGCTAACTAAACTTGTTGGGATTTCCCCTTATTATCTCTCTTGGCCATCTTGTTCCATCTGCATTGAACAAGAAAGTGTTCATCAACCTGAACAAGAAAGTGTTTTCCAGGGTAGGTGGCATGTTGATAAGCCTTGTGCATGCTTGGATACGGATTTTACAGAGCAACTTATCTTCTTCAAAGAAGGGCTTCCCTTGATGCAATCCCCTAACTTGTATTAGAAGGCTAGCCTCTTATCTCACCTTCCGGATCACTGGCACCCATTACTCACATATAGCTAATGAAAGGCAAGACCTCTAAGGTTATCTGCTTGGTTAGAAGCAGAATCACTGACTCACCTGAACCACGCTGGGTTGATTCATTAGTTCACATCATTTGAATGATGGAGATTGGAGCACCCACGACTGTACCACTTGCATCACAGTGGAATACAACTTCCTCTGTAGTCTCACTCTGATGGTTCTTGGATTACAGACATCACATGCTGCATTCTCTACATGAAAGCAGTTCTAGGCAGCAGACCAGAGGCCAAGTGGAGGAAGATTCAAGTTTTATGCCAATGGGATATCATCAATACACGACATGTCAAGTGAGGGACTTTTATCCCAAGCTTTTTAGATATTATGCCTACTCATGAATTATTTTGCATGTGTATCTTATACAGTGCTAGATATCTCCAATTAAAAGATTAAATTGCAAATGGTCGGGAAAAGACTCCTAATAGACGGTCACTTGCACCGAGAAACTAAAAATAAAGAAAACTGGACAATTAGTCTATGTTTGAAAGTTTCCTATATTCAAAATGTTGAGTAAAGTTCAGTGTCCATATATTTTCAAGATTCCCCTTATGACACTGGTTGGCAAGAAAGATCTGAATGCATAAAATAATTCTGCACACTATTGTTTTTCTTTGCTTTTCCAAATATTTCTTTCTTATCCTTCAAGACTGTCTGGGAAAAACCCTCAATTGTTGGGCTTTCTCCCCTTAACCAATTTTCTGTTCTGTAGCATCCACTGAAGTTAATCCTTCCAACATGGATGTGCACTACAGTTGGGCATTTTTTCCTTCAGCTTCAGTTTCATAACTCTTTTTTTAACTGTGGTTTCTGCATGGAATTGGTGAGGACAGACTGATGAGATTCCTTCATAGAAGCAATATTAAAACACCTAAATTAAATAGCATTTTAAAAGAACATTAACAGTTGATTATGATACGGCAACTTTCAAGTTGGCTTAGAAGTTGAAAGTCCCAAGTTTTACTCAAACTGCATAAATTCTTCTTATTATTATACCACAAGGAAAAAGTTGAGTTTTCTTTCAGTAACCTGGAGCAGAGAAACCAAAATGGGTGATAACATAAAGGACCTAAAGTTGAACTCATTCCTCTTATTCTGTGAAGTCAATGCATATGTATATACTATCAGAAAGTCTATTGGTCTTGGAAGAAAGGTGCAATTAATGAAATCCATCATATTATGGATTTCATTAATCATATGGCTGGCATAAAAGCCAATTAATCCAGTAAACAATGCCATAGGGAAGATTACTTAAGAGTGGGGATCCCCAAACCTTGATCTGCAGTCTGATACCGATCCGCAGACCATTGGGAACCAGGTTGCACAAGTGGCAGATGAGTGTGCAAAGTTCCAGTTGCACAAGTGGGGGGCGCGTGAGGCCAAAACCATAGTCTCCCACCTGCTGCCACCGCTACCAGGCCATGAAGCTGGAAAGATTGGGTACCGCTGGCTTACAGCACTGACTCCAATGAGCATAGTAAGATAATTTAAAACAAATCTATGTAGCCTTTTATTACTTTGACTGAAATGCATTTTCTCTCCTGCAGATGGCAGCAGGATTTCAAATGCGGTGTCAATGGATATTCTGCTAATGAATGATTTTAAACTCATTGTCAACAATGCAGAATATAGTGTACATCCACCACTGAAAGGTACATAACTTCATGACCATCCGGAAATGGAATCTTTAATGGTTATCAGACTATTCAAAATTAAAATCCAGTGAAAGCTAAGCATCTACTCAGAAATTAATTCCACTTTATTTACTGGGACCTCACTTGAAAGAGAAATTGTATAGGATATGCAGAGAGAAAGTTCCCTGCACATTTTCTGAGCGTATGGATGCTTATAGTAATTGTAATGACACAAGCTTCACTCTTCTTTCAGATAAAATGAGCAAAGAGCATGCCACAGAGCTAGATGACATCAAGTCAACAGTCCATAAGTTATTTGTAGCCCTTCACTTAGAAGAGCACCAGACAAGAAAAGAGAAAGAGCTAATGCAAAAAATGGAACTTCTGAAGGAAAAACTGCTCCCTTTAGAAGAGGTTTGGAAAATTCTTTAATAAATTCAGTCCTGTGGAAATTGATAATCAGCAAGTTAAATCTTGAACCTGTCCTGTTTCATGAAAACCTAAATCTGAATGTTGATTATTGGTAGTTCACTTCCTTCTATTCGGGACATAGCATATAAGCGATTCTTGAGCAGGGTCCACAGTATTGTCTGGGATTCAACAAATCCTCTTCACGACCTGTTTTCCTTGTTACCTTCTGGGAGGAGGTTTCGTGGTATCCAAAGCAGAACATCTAGATTCAGTCACTCCTCTTTCCTCTCCTTCTTTCTCTTCTATTTCTCCTCTCCCTTTTCCAGAAGAGGGGGAGGGAATGGTCACACGTGGGTTATTCTCAAAGCCTGATTGGTCCAAAGACTGAGAGAAA